ATCTGATCTTAAAGGTGGAGGAACTGGGCTTGTTTACTCCTTGCCCCAAGACCTGGGTAGTGCTTTGAGGGTCTGGTGTGGGGGTGAGTGCCTGCAGCTCAGGATTGCAGGTAGACATACTTCGGCCTAGGGGACCTAGAGGTTCCGAAAGCCCTGCAGCTTCTTCTGGGCCCAGCTTACCTGGCCAGCACCCCATGTGCCACGGAGCAAAACTGGGCACCACAGTGGATAATGGGGCACCACAGTGGATGCAGTGCAAGGCAACTCACAGCCCTGGGGAGGCAGTAAGGATCCTGGAGGTGCCATCGAACCCTCCGCACTGCTGGTGGCTTGCTTCAGTGCTTCAGCGCCTCTCTCTGCTAAAGACAACCTGGTTGCTCCGTCAGCTGCTGTAAAATGAATCAGCTCTCACTTCTGCCTAAGCACGGGAGACTTGGAGCCAGTCCCTGAGTGATGTCTTGCTTCACGCATTTATGAACTTGCCATCCATTCAAAGGAGAAGGGGCAATGTTTCCTGGCCTTCTGTGAAACCTGAAGTGCCCCTCTCTCTTTCTGAAAACTCACACCTTGAGGGCAAACCTTTGAAAATGCTTATCTCTCAGTAACAGACAGCTCTGGTCTATCAGTATGGGGTGTTCCTAGTGTCTTTTTGGGGAAGGAGTCTAAATGAGCTGGGGGTGGGGGGGTGGGGGACTGGGCAATGAAACCAGGATCTGTAGTCTACCAGGATCTGTAGACCAGATTCAGTGCAGCCAGCTCTACTCCTCACAGCCTCTGTGGGAGCCCTTTCCGGGGTCTCCTGGAGCACCCAGCCCTCTGGAGCAGAAAGTGCTGGCGAAGGAGCTTTCCCAGTAACCTGGGAGCCCTGTGATATGGGCCAACCTTCCTGAGCAGCCACCACTCAGACTTCCAAAATCTCAAAGCTCTGCCTCAGTTTGGACTGCAGAGGCTCAAGCACTGAGCAGTAGTTCCCCACCTGCTCAGCCCCAGCCAGAGGGTCTGGGCTGCCCCTCTTGAGGCCTAGACCAGATGAGAGACCTCCATCTCTCCCTACTCATTCTTGCCCCAGCTGGCCTACTGCTTTTCCCCCCACCACGGCAGGGGACAGCGTGCAGAATCCCCCAGGGGACTGCCCTTGCTCACCCATGGCCACCTTTACTCAAGGTGGAGGCTGGGAATGGCCTTCTGAGTTTCCCCGCCAACATGTCTGCATGTGTATCTCAGAGTCCTGTGCCTTGGCCGTTTATGGGGCATTCTGGTGTTTTTCTCAACAAAGGGATCAAAGGGATATGGTGTCTCACTTACAGACTGGTTGGGAAGAGTCCCATTTTTGAAAAACAAAGGAATGTGAGGGTTAAAATGCCTTAAAGGGCACAAGGGATGATGTCTAAATTTCCAGACATCCTCTCAGAGAATTGTAGTGCTCTGGGGTATATCTGAATGTAACTGACGTAGCTCTTTGTAGCTGATGTGTGCACGCATGTGCGGGCGTGCAAGCTGGGCCCATGTGGCTGTGCTGTCCTCTCACTGCACTAGATTGCACTGTGAAAACGTCCTCTATTGAGACTAACTGTGTGCCCGGAACTCACTGGAGGCTTCCCATGCTGCCCCTCCTTCTGTTTTCACAGTGCCACACTAGTTCCCATTTCCTAGGAAAAGGAACCGAAGCAATGTGTCCCTTGTCCAGGATCACAGAACTAGTAAGCAGTAGAGCAAGAATTCTGAACCAGGCAGCAGTTCAACTGCCGAGCCCCAGCTTGGAACCACCACAGCGAGTGTGTGTGAGTGTGTGTGTATATATGTGGTGTTAATATACACCCCCTTAGCCTGTGGGCGGACAACCTGCTCAGGTTTCTGTGCAAAGCAAGCATGCTAGAGTCCTTGAAGTCCACTCTTGTCATTCCAACTGGTGGCATGGGAGGTGGTGCACTTAAATGGTCTGAGCATTTAAATGGTTTTATACTCAAGAAAGATGGAGCCTAGGATGGAGTGGAGTTTTGCTGTCTTGAAAGTTGGTATGAGTCAAGCCACACATTTCCTGAAGAGATGTCAAGAACCAGCAGAGTCAGCAAAAACAGGCTAGTGTTTCTTGGATTCCTCCTTGGCTGCTGCAGAGACCTCACAGACACTAACCCTAAAGGCCCAAGTCATGGACTCCCTGGCTGAGGAAGCAGGCTGCTCTCTCTTGCAGACCTCAGTGATGGGTTTGCACCTCCCTGGTGGGAGGAGGCCCTTCCTCAGGTACATAGATTCACAAAGTTTAAGACTAATATTACTATATTTACCACAGTGAAGATTAACCAAAATAAAGTCCCCTAAACATTATCTATTACTTAAAGGCTTTCATTCTCATAGAGACATCCTAGGGGGGTAAAGAAAAGTGAGGGCAGGAAGAAGAAATTTCTTGTAAATCAAATTAAGTTAAGGTTCTTTGAAAAACTTGTTAGAAAGTTTGAGTTTTCTTGAAGTCTAGAAGGTAGAAAACCTGATTAGCTCTGCATAGGTGACTTGGGTGAATTTCCATATCCAAAGACTAGATAGTAGAAAGCTTGAGTGGTTATTTGGAAACTGAATAGAAGGCTAGGTGAGATAGTAGAGTGGTAAGATTTGGGTTTTCCTCTGTCTGGCAGTGAGAGACTTTGCAGTAACAGCCATTTGTTTTTATTAATCAGCCAGTTGTTTAATGACTTTTGACTTCAAGAGGAATTTCTCTCCCTGGTGCAGTACTTGCTTGTCAGGGCCAGATAGCGCCTCCTGAGGCTGAGGCAATCCAATTGTAAGCTGAAGGTTGCTCAGAATAACGTAAAAGGGAGGTCATAACGTAAGTTAGCGTGGAAAGTCTGATTTTTCAGAGCATTTCTCTTCCACCCGTACCGTGTCTGTCGATAGAGGTTGCCTAGCTTGTGTCACTTCTTGGTTCTGTAGGTGGTCTGCTGCTCCCTAATGCTTAGTTTGGGGCACACCGTGGCCTGTAGATGACTGTTCTATAGATAGGAACTGTGTTGAAATACAAAGTAGCTGCAAGAAGAGGCTTCCTCTGAACATCCTACACAGGGCACAAGCTCACCAGCCCTGATAGCATGGCTATCGTCTGCAAACTCCGAAGAGTGGGCTTGCTAGGGCAAGAAACAGGTAAAACCGTCTCTTGGCTGCTCCTCAAGTCCATGACTAAGACAAATTCCTCATGAGGGATCCATAGAGTACAAATGGGCCCTTGGCCTGGGACCCAGTCCACCTGACCTCCAACCTTCTCTTCACGTCTTCACCTTCACAGGTAAGATGTGCCCTTGGGGATGGACCTGTTTGGCCCCATACGTCAGGCCTCATGTTAGTAGCTAACCCTTTTGGGTACCTGCTATGTGCCGGGTGCTGCACTACATGCTTGACATCAGACCCTCCAACCCCACCCCACACCTCCAGCAGGTAGGGATTATTATCTTACTTATTTCCCAGAGGGAGAAAGGCAGACAAAAACAGGCAAGTCACTTGCCCAAGATCACACAACTAGTGAGTGGCAAATGGGTAAGACACTTGGGCTTTTGAGCCTACGATCCTCATTTGTAAAATAGGGGAATATCGTTGTCCGTCAGCGTGTCCTGAGATCCAATAGGACAGGCACGTGCCACAGCAGCGCTCCAAGCGCACTGCAAGTACTTATCACACACAGCTGCTTAATAGTGGGGTTAATGTCACCGCCAACTTGAAGCAAGCCTAACACAGTGGCTACAACCTCTGTGTGGTTGTTAGACAATTAAGTCGTGAATTCCTAACTTGGGTCTTTTCTGAGTCAGGCGTAAGCTCCGTGAGGGCAGAGACTGTCAGCCTGGTAGTCACTGCTGGTTCCTGGGGTTTTACACAGCACCTGGTACAAGGTGTGTGCTTGGGGGAGGTTAGTGGGATGAATAAGCAAAGGACTGCTTTGGGGGCCCCAAGGCTCCATTCCCAGCACTGAGAGTTCCCTCCCCTCTTTTGCCTTGGGGCTGTGATTTGGGTATTTGCTTCATTCCTGTTTGGAAGGGAAGCTTCGAGAGCTAGGACAGGCCTGGGTCCTGCCTACCCCTGTTCTCCCCACGCGAAGATGCTCTGGGCCTGGCCATGCTGCAACCTCCCCAAAGGGTCCCTTGGGTGCCAGAGGGCTTTCTTCTTGGGCAGAAGTGGACGGTGTTCAAAGCCTTGTTGGAAATAACCGCTGAGTTGAATCCTAGCACATCCTCCCCCACGTGCCACCCTCTCAGACACTTAACTGTGAAAGCCTTTCCCAAAGATTGTGTCCTCTGGCCAATCAAGGCTTTGATCCCGAAGAGACAGAAAGTGGAGGAGCAGGAGGAAGAAGGTGGAGGTGATGATGGATTTCCACTCAGGTCCATCTCCCCACCCCCAGGAATCCCTGAGCTCTGCCTGTGTCCTCTCCAGAAAGGTGAGGCCCCAACTTTCCAATTTCCTCTTTCATCTTTACTGTGTTTCCCGCCCCCACCCCTGCGTATGGGGTGTCGTGCATGCAACCCATCTGGGGATCAGGGGACCCTATTGGGTATGCCAGCTTAATAAAATACTTGCAGTTTATTAAACACAGGCTTCCCTAAGCCTCATGTGCCTGTGGGTATTTGAAAGCCCAAGGTAACCTGGAGCTACCACAAGCGTAATTGTTACATGTGTCCTGCATTCCTGGGGCAACCTCAAACTCTAGCTCTTAAGCAGCATACAAAATTAGCAACATAAAGTAACTCCTAGTCAGACAAGAGTGAGGCAAGGTGGGGAAACACTGAGAAGGCCCCCAGAACCCCTCAGGGCCCCTAAAAGTATATGAAGTTCCCCTTACCTCCATAGCTGCAACTGAGTGCGGGTCCCCCCACCCCAGGCTGCTTGAGTGCAAAATCGGTTCATTGTTCACCAGGCAGTGCTGGCTTGTCAACCTCGCATGATGTAACTTGAATATTTCAACCCCCAGTTCAGCAGAAACAGCAGAAGCTTGCTCTCTGCAGGCAGGGCCCGGAGGGGGGCTAGCACAGCCTACTGTCCGGAATCTCCCTCTGGAGCTGTATTTCTGTTCCTCCTCCAGGGTTTGGCTGGGGAGGGTCCTGGAGAATCCCCAGGTGTCCTGCAGCCTGCTGTCCTGAGCCCTGGCGACACTGCTCCCGAGGGCTGCTTTCCCATTCTTCAGTCTCCTCCACCTGGGCCCTGTAAATCAGGGGTGAAGGGCTGAGACGGAAGCAGCAGACAAGGGCCTCCAGAGAGGTGCCGCTCTCTATGTGGACCAACATCTGGATGCCGCAGAACGCGACCCTGTTGACGCTGCTGAGGGGGACTTGCTCCAGGAAACTGAGAGTCAGGCCGTTGACCCACACGCAGGCCTTGCGGCTCAGGACCTTAAGGCAGAAGGCCAGCAGAGCGCTGCCCTTCTCTCGGTAGGGCTCCAGGGACAGGTGTCGTCGGGAGAGGCAGGAGACCTGCAGCTGGATGTGGGCATCGGAGCCACGCCCTACCAGCAGAGGGCTGGTGTCGTGCCTCAACCTCGGCGGGATCTTGGCGAAGGCTTCAGGGCCCTGGGTGGGGTGGTACAGACTCACCCACAAGACCGTGATGGGCCTCTCCATGGACGGGAGCCTGGGTAGGGCAGAACACAGACACTCCGTGAAGCCAAACACACCTCTGACTCGGAGTCCAGGCAGGCTTGGCCACCCAAAGGACTCTGGGCCATCTCAGCAAAGCACTTCCAGCCCAGTCAAGGCTGTGCATGAAGCCAAGGCTGAAGTTGGATGAAAGTCAGGTCTGCCTGCTCTGGCTCAGTTTCACCTCCACCCTATGGTGCCTGTTCTCTCTGAATTTTACTTTGCTGTCATGTATGTCTGCTTTGTCTATACGTGATATTAGACACACCAGCCTGCAGGGTGGGGCTTGGGTGGCCCATCGTGCTTTGGGGACAATCTGGCCCTGCATCATGGAAAGGTGAGGGCAGGCAGCCAGGCTACACCTGCCTGGTATTCCAACAGTCCCACGCAAACCTGTACAGAGCACTCCCCCGAGCCAAGCAATGGGGTTAAGCCAGAAGAAAAGCCCTTGCTGTCTAAGCCCCCAGCTTCTAGCATCAGACATTCAGAGGGACACAGAAGAGGGGAGCCCGGCCTGCTCCTTGGAGACCAGAAAGGCTGCCTGAAGATTAACAGTGTGAATGAAAACAGCACAGCCCTTGTACTTCCTGAGCCAAGGGCTTTATGGGCATGAACGCCACGAGCATCATTCTTCACTGACTGAGGCAGAAGACAGATCTTGACCAAGAAGGTGGGGAGTGTTGAATTTCGGTCAAGAACGCGTAGGACCTCCCCTGAGGGTAAAGTGCATTGACCACTGTGAGCAGCACAAGCCCAGCTCCTGGGACTCCCTCTCCAGTGTCCTTTAAACTCTCCTTGGAAGGCTACTCAGTGTTCAGCTTTGTCCTGGCGTGGATTTGAGAAGGTAGACCCTCCCACATTCACCAACTCCACGGCCCTAGGACCTGCCACCACCTTCGATGTAAATCCACCTTCCGGGCCCTCCCTGGTGGTGCAAGGGTTTGAAACACAGCACTGTGAAGCTATCTGCAGCCACTGCAGTGTGAGTTGGATCCCCGGTCAGGGAGGTGACCCACATGGCGCAGCAGACCTATCCTGTCTTACCCGCTGACCCCCTCAGCAGTGTACTTCGTCAGTCTGCCTGTTCTGCTCCCCACTGTCTCTGGAGAATCCTCTCTCTTACACACGCACACACACCTGCCCCACACCGCGGCTGTATACCCCAGTTCTTGTAAGCATAAATAAATAAATCTTATATATATATATATATATATATATATATAAATCCACCTTCCATGGATTTGAACAACCAATGACACACTTTTCTAGCACCAGGCTTTGGCTTACCTCTTTTCTCACCCCTAACTCTATCCAAATGCTACTCTTCGAAGGCCTGGTTCATGTGTGACCTCGTCTATGAAGTTCTTTTCCTCTCTCTGCTCTCTAACCCTCCACAGCAGGGAGACCCCTGCGGTACTTGGTCCATCCTTGTCCAGCCCATCGTCCCATTACATGCCGGTGTTGTGAGGGTCTTCTGTCTATCACGCCTCCTGAGGGCATGGTGTTGGGGGAGCTGCCAAGCTGCGCCTTCTTCCTCTGCCTCATGCTCACAGGTCAGGCCATAGCACGTGTCTGTGGGCACACTTGCCAGGGGGGCCAAATAGGAAGAGGCCCACACACGTGAAAATCACATGCCGAGATAGACCCCAAATTGGAGTCTGGTCCTTAAAGGGCAAGGGTCCTGTCTCAGGTGGTACACATGTTCCTGTGAGCCATGAGCACTTTGTCCCTCCTGCCTTTTTGTATGAACTAGGCTAATGGAGGAAGGTCCTGATAGTGAGAGGACAATCCCTCTGTTCTCTGACCCACAGCACTGCCATCCATCCCACTGCCTCCTCCCTCTGCCCCGCAATCTGCGGGAAAGGAAGCCTCTTTCTGAAATATGTGACATCAACCAAGCCCAGGACAGTGGGACTGGATCCACATCCCCAGCCCAGGCCAGAAACTCAGAGTTCACGCCGAGAAACCAACCCTGTGTGACTCAGGGTCCTAAGAGAGCCCCTCGGAAGCAAGGGTTCTCCATGGCTCCTGTAACCTCTGCTCCACTGAGCACTCCAGAAAGCCCCACAGAGCAGAGTCTCTGAAGAGGATCTTGTGTCTTCAGGGCCCCACTTGCTCTGGGGAAGCAGAAGCCCAGTGCTACTAACACAGCCGGGGAAGACCCTCAGGGCCTGTGCTGGGCAAGCAGCTGACAGAGCCCAGCCCCGGTCCCCAAGGGCCTGCTCCCTGCTCCTACCTTACTGTCGGGGTGCTGCTGCTGTGGCTGTGAGCTCTCTGGAGGGCGCGGGTCTGGGCCGGGCTTGCCCAGGGCCTGGAGAGTCAGGGACACAGTGACGCCCACACATCAGTTTTCTTTCTTCCTTTAGGAAAGAAAATGGAAGTGTAATTTCCCCTTGAGGAAGTGCAACCACACCCATTGAGGGTTGAGAAAGCCCTGGGCTGGGAGCTTCTCTAAGGGAGGACCATTCCCTTAATCTCTGCTGGTCTCTCCTGCCCTCTTCCTGGGGGAACTCGAGAGCTGGGTTGGGGTCCCCTGCCCATCAGATGAAGGGACCAAGACTGCTGTTCGAAAGGGAAGTCTTCTGGAGCAGGGAGCAGTGAGGAAGCCGCAGTGTGGGAGGCTGAGGAGAGCTTTACGGCTGGGCCACCAGGCCTGCAGGAGCTGTGGGCAACCTATTAGTTCTGACTATTCCAGAAACAGGTGAGGCCTCAGGGGAAGGGCAAACAGGCCCCAGACAGAGGGCAGCCTCTCCTGCAGGACATGAAGGAGGCTGCCTTCTGTGGCCATCCCTCCTGGGCTCTGCTGCACTCTGAGGGCAGCCTGGAAGTGACCAAGATGGATGTTTGCCCATCACGGTGGGCCAGTCTGTCCTGGAACTGACCTGATGTGACAGCTGTGACAGCCATTCCCATGGTACAGCCCTTTGTCTTTCACCAGCACTTTCATTTTGCCCTCATTGTACCCACCAACCTACCAAGTTGATTATAGACATATTGATCTTTTTTTTTATTTTTAAGATTTATTTATTTATGCATACAGAACTGGAGTATAAGCCAGAGGTGCAGGGGCGGTGAGAGGATTCAATAGGGACAGAGTGGGGAGCAGAACAGGCAGATCATCGAAGTACACAGCTGAGGGGAGCAGTGGGCAGGTCAGGAGAGGTCTGCCGTGCCATGTGGTCACTTCCGGAGCAGGCTGGGATTGAACTCATGCAGAAGTGGTTTTTAGCTTCTTAGTGCAGTGCTTTAACCCACTGTGCCACCAGGGAGGGCCCCACATTGTTTTTTTATTATGCATACAATAATTGGGAGGTCAGAGGTACAGGGTGGGAGGTGAGAAGATTCACCATAGATAGTGGGGAGCAGAACAGGCCTACCAACGAAGTACACTGCTGAGGGGAGCAGTGGACGAGACAGGAGAGGTCTGCTGCGCCATGTGGGTCATCTCCCTGGTCAGGGATAGAACTCGGGCTGCAATGGCTGCAAATAGCTTCATAGTGCTGAGACCTAACTCCCTGGATCACCAGGGAGGCCCTCCTCATGTGAATTTTGGAGCACAATTCAACCACAACAAGTAGAAAGGAGCATGAAAGAACTTGGTGGAACTGTAACTACACAGTGATGACGTAATGTGTACTTACACATACAAGTATATCAAGCTGTACACTTACGAGTCATACATTTAACTCTAAAAAAATTATACAGGCCAATTTCACCACCTTGAAAACCCTATGTTCTTTACCTTTACCTTTACCCTCTGTTTATCCCTTCCTCCCCCAACCCCTGACAGCTGACAATCTTTCTAGTGTTGTCATAGTTTCAGGATGATTTAGTCTTTTCCAGTGGGCTTCTTTCATTGGTAATAAACATTTTTAGACCCAACCATGTTTTTTCATAGTTTAATAGCTCATTTCTATTTAATGCTGAATGATATTCCATTGTCTGGAAGGATCACAGTTTATCCATTTACCTACTGAAGAATAATAAAGTTGCTTCCAGATTTTGTCATTTATGAATGAAGATGCTATAAACTTCTTTGTGCATTTTTGAGTGAACATAAATATTGCTTGCGCTCACCTGGATGAATACCAAAGGGGTGTGCTTGCTGGATCATGATCATGTAGTAAAAATATGTTACTATACTTCCCATTGCTCTCTTGGGCCTTCTCTGCCCTCACTGGGTAGGTCATAGCCAGATGCTCAAATCTCTAATCTGGAAGCTCAGAGAGGTGACTAAGGGGACACAGAAGAGCTGCAGTGGAAGTAGGTAAACCCCAGGCCCCCAAACCAGAGCACACCATGGTGCAGGCGGCTTCCATAGCTGGGCCTCAAGCTCCATCTGGACCATGCTGTGTGGCTTCTGGTTCCTCAAGACAGCTGAGAGATTGTGAGGTGAGATTGTTGTGAGAGATTGCTGTGAGGTGAGGGGTCAGTGGTGGGGGTCAGGGCTGCTCACCAGAGCACTGAGACCTCTGACAAGGGACTAAAGGCCAGTGAAGTCTCCTAGGATGGTCTTTACTATCTCTAGAATGCCCGTTCTGTATCCCCCCACCCTCTACATTCTTGCTCCCCTGACATTGGGAAAGAGAACAAAGCTTGGGACCCTGAGAAGCCTCTCCCCTGACTGTGTTAGGGGTGTGCTGGACCTCTCAGGAAACCTAGGGGGTCAGCAAGTGACCTGAATATGATCTTAGCGGCAGCCTTTCAGGCATTGGCTGATTGGCTGGACAGGGAGAGAAGTCAGGTGTCTAGCTAGACAAGAACATCCCAGGACTCTTGCTAGCCCAGACACATACAGCCACACCCATAATGGACGGGTGGGTAACCTGAAGTCTAACTGGCCACTCAGAGGTGTCCAGGGCTGGGTACAGGGAGCAGAGCCTGCAGGGTAGAACCTTTCCTCTCTACCCATTAGGCTTCTTCACCCAGATTGGTGGCCATGAGAGGGGCCTCCTCCTCCCGGCTCCCCACATACCCAGGCCTTC